TCTCCTCCTGCCCCTGCCCCCTGCCCCCCATCTCCTCCTGCTGCTGTCCCCTGTCCCCATCTCCTCCTGCCCCTGCCCCGTACCCCCCATCTCCTCCTGCCCCTGCCACCAGCCTGTGCCCCTGGCTTCTGCCCCAGCTCTCAGCTGCCACCAGGGCCCAGCCACTTCACACCTCCAGCCACCTTGACCAGCTGGATCATGGAGTCTGTCTGTCTGCTGACTTGTGTCAGATTGTCTGAGTGAGTGTGTATGTGTGTGTGTGCGTGCACATCTCTGTGTAGGTGGGAATGTCTATATGTATTTATGTGGGGCTGTCACATGTATATGTCTCTGGGCGTCTGTGAGTGGGACAAGGGCCCTATTTACAGGGAAGATGTTTCTCTACGTTGCTACTTCCATTTCCTCAGGGAGCATGTTTGTGTGTGAGGAGGGGTGTGTTCTGGAAGGACCAACAGAAAGTCTGGGATCAGAAGCAGAGCCCTCCCTGTGAGGAGGGCCACGCTGACCCGGGCCCCCTGTCACCCTGAGCAGAATGAGTCTTCTTCCTGGGCACCTTCCAGTCAGCCTTGGATGGACTTGGGGGTCGGGGGGGCGCCCAAGGCTGGCCGCACTGCCCAGTGCACACAGAAGGGTGGCCGTGGGTGTTTTCGGGGGAACTGCTGCTCCCCGGAGGCCCGCCTCCTAGGTGGGCTCAGGGGAGGCACTGCAGCCGGGTGGGGAGCTGTGGGCATCCGGGACGGGACAGCCCCTCCTCGCTGGCACAGGCCTCACGTGCCAGCACGTGCCCAACCGGGGAAGACTGAGGAGATGAAAAGCATCCCAACTCGGAGAGAAACTCTGATAGACCTTAACTCACCAACCTTTTAAAGAATAAGGACCCTTTTTTTATAGGCACAATTGAATTTCTGCTTTAATAGGAATTACATTCATGTGATGGAGTACGCAGAAGTGAACAGAGTACAGGAAAATTCTCCTTCCCATCCCCATCCCCAGCTACCTAGGGAGCAGCCGCCATATGTTTTCATGACTGGTCAGAAACCCCTAATGAAGACAGACCAGGGACTTCCCTGGAGGTCCAGTGGTTAGGACTCTGCGCTTCCACTGCAGGGGGCGTGGGTTCAATCCCTGGTCAGAGAACTAAGATCCCACAAGCTGCGCAACATGGCACGGCCAGAAGAAAAAGAGAGAGAGGAAGGAAGGAGGGAAAGGAGGGGGGGGGGGGGGGGGAGGGGGAGGGGGAGGGGGAGGGAAGGAGGAAGGGAGGAAGGGGGAGGGGGGAGGGAGGAAGAGAGAGAGGAAGAAAAAAAGAAGGAAGACCAGCCCTTTCATTTACTCCTGAGGCTCAGAGAGGTCAGAGGAATGCAGAGGGTCACAGAGCAAGTCAGCAGCAGAGTCAGAATCCACACCCAGTCTCCCCCCGACCCCGCTCATCCCCTCCCCGGCCCCCCTCCCTCCCCACAGCTCGGGGGCTGGAACATCACGGGGCCCTGGGACAAGAACAACTTCCAGGGCACGCTGCAGGTGGTGACGTCCCACTACCGCACCTCGCCCTTCTTCTCCGTCTACGTCAGCGCTGACTCTAAGAACTCCAGCAGCAATGTGATCCAGGTGAGAGGCGGGGGGGAGAGGGCTGGGCCTGACCCCAGGGCCTGTTTTGAGTTTAGCAAGCAGCGCCTTGAGGGCAGACTTGCCCTTGGGCGACAGGCTTCTGGTTTCTGAGCTTGGTTATTTCTGGAGGCTCCCGACTGTGAGATTTTTGCAGGAAAGTTGTGAAAGGGCAGGCTTGCCTTCCTTGGGTAGGTGGGGGTCACTGCAGCACAGGTGAATCTTTGGGGTTCTGACTGGTTACTGTGGGTCCCAGGAGTGATGTCAAGTCCTGAGCACAGCTGGAGTCACCTCCCGGTCACCCCAGCTCAGTCTCTGGCCTTTGTGGCTCTGCTCGGAATAGCTTTGAGTCCGCCTCTCCCTGCCAGAGCCTGCCCCAGACTGAGCACCAGCACATCCAGGGGACCCCAGCCCTGCTCTGCCCACCCTCAGAGGCAGGAGCGAGAAACCCGGGTTGGGCCTCCTGAAGGCTAAGTTCCCACCCACCTCTGCCACTCACTCACTACGTGACCACGGGCAAGTGCCTCAGCCTCTCTGAGATGCAGTTTCCTTGTCAGTCAAATGAACTATAGCAATACCTACTCTAGGTATGTCAAGGTGTGGCCCAAGGCTCTGATAGGAGCTATCAGGGATTGACCCTCCCTACCTGCCCAGCACCCAACAAGGCCCTCACTGGCACTCCCAGCTCTGTGGGTTAGATAGTTCTCCTATTTTCCAGGTAAAGAACCTGAGGATCAGAAAGGTTCAGCAACTTGCCCAAGGTGACACAGCCGTGAGTGGCTCTGGACTGCTCACCACCTTGGGAAGTGTTTAATGAAGCATAAGTGCTCTGCCAAGCCTAGAAGGAGTTTAAAGAGGAGGGTGGTTCCGTCTGACCTTCAGAAGGGCCCCAAATCCCCATGGCTGACCACATGTGTGGGAAGGAATGTAGCCCGACATGTGTCTGTCCCCTCGCTGGGGGGCCCATCCCAGGGATGGCCTCGGCTACCAGCTTGTGCTGCTGCTGGGGCCTGAGCTGCTCCTCCACTGCCATGTGCCTGCCGTCCCTGGAGCAAACGGAGACTGCGTGCAGGTGTGCGTGCGCAGGTGTGCGTGCGCAGGTGTGCGAGTGCAATGGGAGATCCCCTCTCACCCCCGCATTTCTCTTTAGGTGGACCAGTCTGGCCTGGGCTTACCCTCGAGGGATTATTACCTGAACAAAACCGAGAATGAGAAGGTAGGTGTGCCTCTTTAGAGAGTGGCTCCCGCCCAGACCACCTCTCTCCATGGTTCATCCCCCTCGGTGTTCCCTCAGTGTACACACCTCTGCAGGTCTTTGAAGCTAGAGGAGCATAGAGGTGTCCCTTACCTGGCAGTCCCTGGCAGGGGAGGGGTATCATTTGTCCCCATTCTAGAGTAAGGCTCTTCCATATTCAGGCACTGTGGGCACAGGGGACAGGTGTCATTTGTCCCCATTCTAGAGCGAGGCAGTGATAACGCCCACCACCTTATACACACATCACCTCTGGCCTTCCCAGTAACCCTGCAGGTACTGAACATCTCTGAACTTCATTCGCCTTATGTGTCACATGGACATTATTTTTACCTGGCCTGTTACAGAGGAGGAAATAAGGCTCAGAGATGCTAAGTGACCTTATCAAGGTCACACAGCTAGTCGTCAGTGGTGAGGCTGAGATTCTCATCCAGATCCGCTAACTCCAAAGCCCACACCTTTCCCTCCCCCTGGCTGCCTCCTGTGATGTCCCAGGGAGACCTGGCCTGAAGTTGGTTGACTGTCCATTCATGATTCCACCCACTGTGTTGAGCAAGTGGCTACCAAGTGCCTGATGCTAGGGAGACAGTGGTGAACAAGATCAGCTTGGTCCCTGCCCCATGGGGCTTCGAGTCTAGGAGGGGAGGCAGATGTTAAGTAACTAACCACCCGATTAGAGGCATGATGATAAATTGTGAGAAGGGAAGGGTGAGCTGAGAAAGTAACCTGGAGACCTAATTCAAATCTGGGGGCCTGGTAGAGCAGGGTGGATCAGAAGTGCGTTCCAATAATTGAGCGATGGCCCAATTGGTGGCTTCCATGTGATGAGCGTCCAGGAGGGAGTATGGGCTGGGACAGCAGGGACCAGCCCACTTCGGGACCTTTGTGGGCTTTATCCTGAGGGCCATGGGGAACCAGTGAAGGAGTGCACTGCCAAAACCATTCTTGAAGCTGGTTTCCAGCGGGTATCCTGGGTGAAACCCCCCAGCCCCCTGGCTCCCTGCGCGGGGCTGCAGCTGGCCTGCCCCACCCTGCGCCCCTTGTCCAGTGGGCAGTGGGTAGCAGCCACTGACGGATGGGGGGTGCTGGGTCCCACAGGTGCTGACGGGATACCTGAACTACATGGTCCAGCTGGGAAAGCTGCTGGGCGGAGGGGACGAGGACACCATCCGGTCCCAGATGCAGCAGATCCTGGACTTTGAGACAGCGCTGGCCAACATCACCATCCCCCAGGAGAAGCGCCGGGACGAGGAGCTCCTCTACCACAAAGTGACAGCAGCTGAACTGCAGGTAGCTGAGCTCTGCTGACGCGGAGGCTGAGGCACCACAGAACTCAGGATGGAGGGCACTAGACTGGGGTGTTTACACCCCCTTCACCAGACCCTCAGAACAACCGCATGAAGCAGGGATGGTCGTTGTCCCCAGTTCACAGACGGAACTGAGGCTTAGGGAATTAGAGTTGCCTGCTGAAGGCCACACAGCCGGAGACCAGCCAAAGCCAGTCTCTTGCCCTACGCCAGGCTGCTTTTCTGCAACCGCAGCTACCTGGGGAGACTCTGTGGTCGTGATAATATTGGCTCACATTGACTGGGCATTTCCAGTCTCTCAAGCTCAAGTACATCAAGCCTGGTGCACAATAAACATGAAGGTTGGGTTCTGATGTCACCTCCCTTTTCCGAGCCGGGAGGTTAGGTGATGTGCTCAAGGCCTCTAGGCTCCTAAGTGGCAGGGGAGCTGGGACCTGGACTCAGGCTTGGCTCACTGGAGCTCTGCTTTTGACCACGACCCCTGGTGACCTCCTGGAGCTGTAACAGGGTTGGGGTCAGACGCCCTCTGCACTGGGTGTACCCATCTGAGAAGTCGATGGCTCTTCTGTAGGTCAGCCTCTATCAAAGCCTGCCCCCTGGTGGCTGCTTGGGACTTGCAGGTAGTGAGTTGATTGCCTGCCAGTTCCTTCTTTCCAGTTCGTGGCATGTTGGTGTCCAGCCTTCCCCCAGGCTCTGGGGTCGCAGAGGAATCAGCAGAATGGCCTTAGTCAATCTTCCTGTTTCCTGCCATCGCCCAGGAATGCTCGGCTAGGCCGTGCTTCCCTGCTCGGAAGGATGTTCAGGCCACCTGTGTTGAGGCTTCACTCTTCCTCTGCCCAGCCGAGTCCTGCCCATCCATTAGAGTTTGGCTCATCTCTGCTGCTTTAGGGAAGAACACCTAGGTCCCTACCCCTTTTTCTCTCTCCATCCCTCCCTCCAACAGGTGTCTGTGGGGCTACCTTGGGGCCTTTCTCTTGATGTGCTTCCAGGCGAGTAAGGGACACCAGCGAGGAAACAAGCTCAGTCTCGTTGCCGAGTGCTTTGGGCAGAAGAAGCAGGGCACTGGGGCCAGGGGCAGAGCTAAGTCAGGGAGGGTGAGTCTAATGAATAAGAGAGCAGGGGCCAGGCTGACTGAGTGTCCCAGGCGGAGGTGCAGCCCACACAAAGGCTGGGGATGAGGGCAAGAGAGCCTGGCCTCCTTCTGGGTGCCAGCTGCCCTTTAGGTCCCCAGAGAAGCTGGCATCAGGGGGAGTGGTGCTGAGTGGATTGTTATGGAGATCAGCAGCCTGTGCTGGGCACCATCTGGCACTGTTTTTCCGCTCCGAGGCCAGGAAGTCGAGGAAGATGCTGTTTGTGCAACATGATTTGGTTTGCTCCAGCTGCCCAGTTCTCAGCCCAGAAGGGCTCCAGCAGTCCCTCTCCCCCCTGCATGGCCACGAAGGCAACTGACAGCCCGAGAGTGGCCGAGAAAGCACAGTAGCCCTGGGCACATCTGCCCCAGCGTGGCTTCCAGGCTCTGTCCCTAGATGTCTTTTCACCATTGCTTTTGCTCTATTCTTCCAACCAAGCAAGGAAAGGCTTTCCTCCCTCCCAGCTACAGAGCTCCCAGGGTGGGGAGGATTTTAGCAGAGGCAGCAGCCTGGAGTTGTGTGAGTCCTGGGCTTGGAGTCAGAAGACTGCTCTGGCCCAGGCCCACCGTGAGCCTTGGGCAAGTCACATAACCCCCTCTTTGAGCCTCGGTTTCCTTCCTTGTAAAATGGGCTTTGCTTGCTCATTTACACCTGCTCCGTTGCAGAACAGAGAGACAAATGAGGGACAGCCCCTGCCCTCATAAGGGGCAGTGGTTCTTAACTTTAAGTCACAGAATTCTTTGAGGACAGGTTGAAAACTGTGGCGCGTCTCCCAGGAGAAATGGGCATGGTTACGTATAAAAAAATTATATCTAGTGTTTAAAGAAGTCCTGGACCCCTGAAGCCTGGTGTCCTGGATGAGAATCGGCCTGCCCTGCCCATGGGGTTGCATGACGGTGAGATAAGGCAAAGGATGAGTTCTCATCTTGTAAACTGACATGCAATTCGAACATATTACAGTAATCGATCTTAGTATTATTCCTGTGTCATCGGTGATGACAGCCCACGTCTCCAGCCCTAAACCAGTTTGATTCATTCCACCCTTGGACAGAGAATGTCTTTTTGTTCCCTGGTATCTGGAAATTTGGTGTTCTTCCCAGACTCCAGGAGGCTCAGGGAAAGGCGCCCCAGCCTTTCACAGTGTGGTTCTAGGAATACACGGCGGTTCCAGGCAAGCCCCCAGCAGCAGAGTCTGAATTCAGACCCATGAATCCAACATCCTTCTGTTGCTTCTCTAGGGGCTTGAGGACCTTCCTGTTCCTTTCTAGGACCTTCCACACCAAAAATTGATTGGGAATGAGCCCCATCCTCTGCTCTAAATTCTTCAGCTGAGATAGAGCCTGGGAGCATCCTTGTTCCTCTCCCAGTTTGCAAGCCTACTTGAGCTGGGTGCTTGGTGACCAGCAGTGCTCTTTGGCTGCGGGTGTGGAAAATAGAGCTCATCTGTGTGCCCCAGAGGCTTTGAGTCACAAGTGGAATGTCCTGGTTGGTTAAAACAGCCGTCTCCATGGAGATGGACCCAGGCACTCGGGTTTAAGTTAAGTGTTCACTAAATCAGTAAAGATTGAAAATGTGAAAATCCTGGTATTCAACATGCGCTGTTTCAGAGTTGTGGGAATTTACCTGCACAGAACATCTGCTCTCGCAAAAGGAACAGGCTTGTGTTAAGTATACGGGGATTTATCATCACCTGTATCTGTACCCTGATCAGAGAGTTCCAATCACCTGCAGTTTATGAAGCTCTTGTTAATTGTATAAACAGCGACATTTTGTAAACTTGGCAATTTTCCCGGGGGATTTTGCCAGCAGGTCACACTGTCAGGTGGCTCTAAGTGTTGAGCCCTGTCTGACCATCTCACCTGGACACCTTCAAGTTTTGCAGCCACAGAAATTTGATGGGGAGCCCCAGAGGTCACCTGCTTAAGGAGCTCTTGCCAGGAAGAGAGGGAGGAATGGACAAGCTACGGGAAAAAAGAAGCTCGATTTATTGTATAAGCTGTCCCGAGAGGCACAGAGCAGCCCACCCTTGGCAGGGATTTTTTTTTAATTTATTTTTATTTTATCTGTGGCTGCGTCAGCTTTTTTTTTTTTAATTAATTAATTTATTTATTATTTTTGGCTGTGTTGGGTCTTCGTTTCTGTGCGAGGGCTTTCTCCAGTTGTGGCGAGCGGGAGCCACTCTTTATCGCGATGCGCGGGCCTCTCACTGTCGTGGCCTCTCGTTGCGGAGCACAGACTCCAGACGCGCAGGCTCAGGAGTTGTGACTCACGGGCCCAGTTGCTCCGCGGCATGTGGGATCCTCCCAGACCAGGGCTCGAACCCGTGTCCCCTGCATTGGCAGGCAGACTCTCAACCACTGCGCCACCTGGGTAGGGATTTTTGTCTCCATTTGAGAGAAAGGCTGCAAAGTGACTTGAGGTCCAGAGCTGGTTCATGATGGGGACCCCAGCCTAGGTCTTCTCCAAAACAGGGCTCTTCCCAGCTCACCTTGGTGCCAGGCAGATGGGGATGTATTGGGGCCCACTGGGCACAGCTCTTCCCAACTCTGTGGGTAGTTTGCAATAGGTCATGGTGGGAATGCAAATTATCCGGCATCACTGAGAGCCAGTTGTTAAATGTTTACCAGCACACCACTGCCCACGGGACCTGCCCTCCTCAGTCCTTTGAGGTCCTTGTTCCCCAGCAGCTGAGCTGCCCTTTAAAACCAGAGAGACTGTCAAGTGGGAGGTTTTTATGGCTGCCTCTGTCACTGAGGACATCATAAGTATTTACCAGCAGGTTACAGATTCATCGATGTCACAGATTGATTTTACGTTCTTAATTGATCTTCCTGTATGAAGGCCATTTATAAGGCATCTCTCGCTTCCTTTATTTGTCTTACATTTTGCCCGTTTTCAAGGGAACAAAGAACAGAATTTGGAATCAGTCCCAGGACCACTCTTGGGAGACTTTGAGCAATGATTACAATAGCTCATCAATGATTATAATAGCTAACATTGATTGCTTGCTAAATGCCAGATACCATTGACGTTACAGGCGTTTTTGCTGTAACACAGTATATGCAGTCCTGAAAAACCTTGCATCCTGTAAAAGTACAGGACTGAAAAGAACTAAAAACAACAGAACATATGGGGAAAATAGGACTAGAGCAGTCCATTCAAAAGTTGTGTAACTTGAGGACATTATGCTAAGTTAAATAAGCCAGTCCCAAGGACAAATAGACTGCATGGTTCCACTTAGATGAGGTACATAGAGTAGTCAGGTTCACAGACAGAAAGTAGAATGGTGGTTGTCTAGGGCTGAGGGAGGGGGATGGGGGGAGTTATTTTTAATAGATTCAGAGTCTCAGTTTTGCAAGATGAACTCTGTGGATGGATGGTGGTGATGGTTGCACAACGTGAATATATTATACTTAATGCCACTGAACTGTACACTTAAACATGGCTAAGGTGGTAAATTTTATGTTACCACAATTTTTTTTTAAAGTTGTGCCACTTGGTCATCAAAACACTCACAAGACAGTAATTGGAACCTTGAGAAATAGCTTGCATGGCTGGAGGCTGCCTGGTGAGAAATGGAACTCCTGGCTGTGGACACGGAGACCCCGAAGATAGACAGATGGGAGCTCCATGCAGTGGGGCTGCCGTTAGGCGGGCCAAGGGCAAGTGCAGCCCTCTGGGAGCTGAGAGTTATGCAAAGTGGCATGTGCCTCTGTGGGGAGGGTTGTGTGCAGGTGCTCCTTTTAAATTATCTTAAAATAGAGCTGACTGGCTTCCTGTGTGGGCATGGGCTGAGCTGAGGGCTTTTCCTCTCTTGCTGAGGTTATCCTCCTATGCTTGCTTTTCCAGATCCCATGCCTGAGAAAGACCTCCTGTGCATAGAGAATTCTATGCACTCTACTGCTGTTATTCTTGTAGTTACCAGTCGTACAGAAGACTGATCATATAGAATCCAGTTGATGTTACAGGACCACATGTTGAGTGGAACAGACAGGATTACTTGTGTAATTCTCACACTAACCCTGTGGGGTGGGTTTTATGATGACGAGCCTCACTTTTCAGATGAGATTCCCGAGGCACAGAGGGGCTCATCCACTTACTCCAGGTCACACAGCTAGTAAGCGTATGAACCCAGGCAGTTGGCTCCGGATTCTACACACATCCATTGCAGACCCCTCTAAGGCTCAGTTTCTTCATCAGTAAAATGGGGATAATGGTACCTACCGCCTAGGCTTGTCATGAGGTCCAACTGAGAGAAGATGTGTGTCACTGATGGTGGCCCCTGGCACTGGAGGGGCTTGACCAACAGTGGCTGCCGCTGCTGTCACTGTGTCTCCTCTTATTCCATTTCGAGTTACAGTTTGGTGTTTGGTGCCTTACAGTTCTATACGTACAGCGTCTCTGACAACAGTCAGCCAGCCTGGGTTTGACATCACATCTGCCCAGTGCACCGTCAGCCAGCGCCCAGCTCTTTGCTTTGTCTGCGGTGAGGGCTTGATGGCGCCTTCTTCAGAAGAACGACCTAGAGTCTTGGGCTCTGAGGAGAAGCAGCCCAGCCAGAGTCATGCTGTCTGCTTCCCTTCCAGGCCTTGGCGCCCGCCATCAACTGGCTGCCCTTCCTCAACACCATCTTCTACCCCGTGGAGATCAACGAATCCGAGCCTATAGTCGTCTATGACAAAGAGTACCTGAGCCAGGTCTCCACTCTCATCAACATCACAGACAAATGGTAAGGGCACCCGGCCACCTGGGATGGGCTTCTCATGGGCAGCCTCTTGGTCACACACGGCCCCTCTCCTCAGCCAGGACGGGGGCCACACTGACTAGGAACATGGGCCCTGGGCTGGCTTCTGCGAGAGGCTGCAGGGTACCCAGGCTCCTCCGCCCGCCAGCTTGGTAGCCTTGGGCATGTTTCTTTCCCTTTTTCGGGTTCATTTTCCTCATCCATAAAATGGGGATACAAATACAGAGAACTGAGTGAAATAATCTGTGTGAAGTATTTTAACACAGTGCCTGACACTGAATGGGACTCAGTAAATGTTAGCTAATAATTTAGTTAATATTTATGATTTTTTAAAAATATTTATTTAGTGGGCTTCCTTGGGGGCGCAGTGGTTAGGAGTCCGCCTGCCAGTGGAGGGGGACGCGGGTTTGAGCCCTGGTCCGGGAAGATACCACATGCCACAGAGCAACTAGGCCTGTGTGCCACAACTACTGAGCCTGTGCTCTAGAGCCCGCGAGCCACAACTACTGAGCCCGTGTGCCACAACTCTTGAAGCCCGCGCACCTAGAGTCCGTGCTCCGCAACAAGAGAAGCCACCACAATGAGAAGCCCGCGCCCCACAATGAAGAGTAGCCCCCGCTCGCCGCAACTAGAGAAAGCCCACGCACAGCAATGAAGACCCAACGCAGCCAAAAATAATAAATAATTTTTTAATTTATTTGGCTGCGTCAGGTCTTAGTTGTGGCACACGGGCTCTCTAGTTGTGGCATGCAGGCTCTAGAGCGCGCAGGCTTAGTTGCCCCCCGGCATGTGGAATCTTAGTTCCCCGACCAGGGATTGAACCTGCGTCCCCTGCATTGGAAGGCAGATTCTTAACCACTGGACCACCAGGGAAGTCCTGTGATTTTTTAATTGTAAAGATTTGTTGCAGAAATGTTTTTAACTACAGAAAAAAATTCAAATTACCCAAAACACTCATGTTGATCTTATGGGATGTGTATGTGTGTTTGTAGAGAGAAGCAGGTATGTGAGAGAGAGAGCAAGAGGTGGATTTTCTAATACATGGTTCCTTTTTTCGCCATCATCGTGACCACGTGTATAGTCTGCTTTTCCCTTGACCTTTACTATAAGCACCTTCCCCATGTTGCCCCAGACCCTCTGCAGGTCTCATTTTTCATGGCTACATAATATTCCGTCAAGTATAAATATGATTATTTACTCACTGTTCCCCACTTGTCAGACTTTCAGGTTGGTTCCAGTTTGAGGCTGGATGTTCACCATAGTGAACACTATGTCTATGTGTGAAGGTGACTTGTTTGCAGAGGTGACACCAGCCACAGATGGTTCTCTGTGCCCTGGGGATGGGGGCAGTGAGAGCTCTCATTCATAGAGAACTTGGCCTGGCTGGCCAGAGCTTCCTTCCTTCCCCTCCGATTCTTAGGCCCCCTTTCCCATCTTTGGCCTTCTGGCTGGGTCTTCCCCAAGCATTGGAAATGGCCACTCCTTCCCTTCTTCAGCCCAGTACCACACAGCATCCAGGGTGCATCTCCGTGAGCGCCCCCTAGAGGCCAGTGGGGGGAATGCTGCTGGGCGTCCAACCTGGGGCACTTCTGAGCCTGTCTGTCATCTTCTTGCCCCAGCCTGCTGAACAACTACATGATCTGGAACCTGGTGCGGAAAACAAGCTCCTTCCTCGATCAGCGCTTCCAGGACGCCGACGAGAAGTTCATGGAAGTCATGTACGGGACTAAGAAGGTGAGCACCTGCTGTGCGCCAGGCCCTAGAACTCGCGAGGGAGGTAGACGACAGGCAGAGGATGAAGAGGGCCACTGAAGGGATCCACCATGGTGTCCCTGGGCGCACAGGAGGGGATCTAAGCCAGCCAGGGGTGGGCAGAAGTTTCCAGGAAGAGGTGATTACACCGTCTTCAAGTGTAAAGAGGACTCTCAGTGATTTAGCTAATTTACAGCAAAAGGTGGCTTCTGGGCTTTCCCTTCCGACTCCTTCTCAATGGTGATGGTGATAAGGCTTTCCTTGTGTAACTCATGTGACTGTCACATCCCTGCAAGGTGGGTATGATCATCAGCCCCCTCTCACACAGGGACCCCCCCCCCAATAATACTACTTCTTCACCATAAATGTAAAACCCTTGGAGCAGCCCCTGACTCACGGTAAGTACGACACGAGTGTCCACTGATACCATTATCCTCCCAAGCCCCAGACCAGGTGGTTTCCACCAGCTTTATTTTATTTTATTTTATCTTTTAGTACTTATTTATTTATCTTTATTTGGCTGTGCCAGGTCTTAGTTGAGGCACGCGGGATCTTAGTTGAGGCACACGGGATCTTTTTTTTTAGTTGCGGCATGTGGGCTTCTTAGTTGCGGCACGCATGTGGGATCTAGTTCCCCGACCAGGGATCAAACCCGGGCCCCCTGCACTGGGAGCCTGGAGTCTTAACCACTGGACCACCAGGGAAGTCCCTTCACCAGCTTTAACTGCCCCACTGTGACCCCTGCCCTCCAGCTACTTCCACCTCCCCAAGGAAGTGGAGGTCATTGTGTCGTTCACATGGCCAGCTAGTGCATGTTCACTGACGCCCTGACACCATGTGCCAGACTCTGAGCCCAGTACGGAGACACTGAGATGGGGTCTGCGCCCCAGGCCCCCATGTCTGCTGAGGGGGCTGAGAGAAACCGATCAGTCCTCACGTGCTGAGGGGATACACCAAGCCGGGACCCCTGCAGGCAGCTAGGAGGTGCCCCAGCCACAGAGCAGTGGAGGCTGGAGTGCCAAGCCCCCCTACCCCGGCACACCCTGCCCACGCCCAGGACCGCAGCTAGCAAGACCCCAGGGGGCGAGCAGAGCTGGCGCCAGGTGGACTCTGCTCCTGCAGCCCCTCCCAGAGTCCAGGGCAGTGGGCAGAGCCAGATGAGGACTGGCAGAGGATGGCAGCATGTGGGCCCCGGAGTTGATCCTGGGGAAAGTTCTGTCTCTCCCTCCCCTTGTACACCCACCTCTGGCAGGAAGGGGACAGAGGGAGAGGGAGGCTGGGAACAATCCCTGCTCCTGACAAGAGGGGCTTGCTCAGCCACGAAGGCCACCCTGGGCCCGCAGAGAAGGGCCAGGGGAAGAGCTGGCTGCCCTGCCCTCCTTCCTGCCCCACCTGCTACTATCTTGGACCAGCCCTGGGTGAGCGCCTGGGTCACAGACGCGACAAGGCAGGGACTCTGTCCCCTGAACACGTGGTCTCCCAGGCTCTCTGAGCCTCAGTTTTCTCATCTGTTGTTTGGGATCATCCCTGACCTCATCTCACAGGACCCTTGGGAATGGCCTCCATTTGGGAAAACACTTTTAATTTGTAAAGCCTTATAGAGCATCCAGGTGCCCATCCTCGTAGGGAGGTAATAGCACAGAGCTTTGGGTCAGAAGTTCTGAGTTTGCAATGCTTCCTCTAACCATACAGCCTTGGGCAAATCACTTCATTGGATCAGGGAGCTCAGTCTTCCCATCTGTAAAAAGGGGTAACTCATCACTGCCCTATTTACCAGAGGGTTGTCTGGGATTACATGAGGGAATCCCTGCAAAGTCTGCTGTGAAGGCTACCATACTGCACACCGTGTTCTTCACCTGCAGAAAGGAGCACAGAGGGTACCTGCCTCGTCGGGTTAACAGCGAGGATTCTGCAGGGTAGGGCCCCGCACCCAGTAAACACTTACTAAACATTTACTACTATTGCTGATGCTGTTACGCTTTTTATGCACCTGTCTCTCCCCCGAATGTTCTGGGCATTTCAGCTGAGCCCAGAGGGCAAGACCTAGCACAATCAGGGCACAGCAGAACTGCTCAGAGAACACTGGCTGTGTGAGTTAATGAACGCGTGCGTGAATGAACGGGTTTACGCGAAGAACCCCCTGAGAAGACAATAAGAATCAGTCCGTGATTCAGCCGTCCCAGCCTGGAGCCCCCACAGAGCCCAGGAGTTAGAATCCCCCTGGGCCCAACCTCCTGTGGGGTCAGGCTCCTCCAGATCCGGGTACAGCCCATGTCCAGCTGTAGGCTTTGAAGCTGAGGAAGAGCAGTGGGTGGGGTTGGGGGGAGGAGAGGGGCGGCCAAGTGGACACACGGCTGGGAGAGTTTAAAAGAACTTAGAGGGGCTTCCCTGGTGGCGCAGTGGTTGGGAGTCCGCCTGCCGATGCAGGGGACACAGGTTCGTGCCCCGGTCCGGGAAGATCCCATATGCTGCGGAGTGGCAGAGCCCGTGAGCCATGGCCGCTGAGCCTGCGTGTCTGGAGCCTGTGCTCCGCAACGGGAAAGGCCACAACAGTGAGAGGCCCGTGTACTGAAAAAAAAAAAAAAAAAAAAAAAAAAGAACTTAGCGAAGGCTGGAGTGCCTTTTTCTTCCTTCCTTTCTTCCTTCTTGCCTTTAAGAAAATTTTTTAAAAGGTGTAATTTACACACAATAAAATGTATACACTAAGTATACAGGTTAGTGAGTTTTGACAAATCAAATCACTCCTGTAACCACCAACCCAATCAAGACAGAGAACATTTCCATCAGCCGTTTGTCCAGCGTGCTCTGCACAGGAGGGTCCCTTGCCCGCCATTCCCATCAGTCTCTCCGACCCAGCATCCCCAGAGGTGGGCGTAGATGGGACCACACAACTGTGCGGGCTTCTTTTGCTCAGCAAAATAGCTGTGAAATTCATCCATGTTGTGTACATCAGTTGTTCCTTCCCTTTTGTTTCCAAGTCGTGTGCTGTTGTATAAAAATACCACATTTTGTTTATCCATCTGCCTGTCGATGGGCATTTGTGTTGTTTTCAGTTGATGGCTATTATGAAGCAGGCTACCCTGAGCCTGGGTGGTTTTTACCACCTGCTCTTCAGGGTTAAGAAGACTGGGCTTCCTCTGCAGCACAGGGGTTTATGTGAGCAGGGCCACCACTTGTGGTCATACGGACTGTCCCCAAAGGCTGCCTGGGCAGGGGAGCAAGTGGGGCTGAAGCTAGCGCCTCACCGGGGGGTAGAAAGTTAACTGCCCAAGGCTCTCTGCCACCAGGATCCTCACCCTCTTCCAGGAGGGGTGTGGGGTGTGGAATCAGGCACCTGAGAGTTCCGGTGGCTGGGGGCCTCTGGACCAGCGGTTTCCCCTTGCTGAGTATCTGTTTCCTCATCAGGCTCCCAGGTTCATTTTGATGGCTCCGGAGGATACCATCAGCATCTGTGAAGTGCTCTGCAGGAAGTAGTAGATGCCGGTGATTAGGGCTATCCCGTGGCCTCTTGGTCCAGTGCCTAAAATAACTTCCACTGGGTCAGAAAAGGTCTCCCTCAAGTTCTGGACAGGAGCACGGGCCTAGCTGGTGCTACCTCCCAGACAGACAGGGGTTGGGAAGAAGGATGGGGGCCAAGTAACCTCTCTGACTTGTGTTTTCCAGACCTGTCTTCCTCGCTGGAAGTTTTGCGTGAGTGACACAGAGAACACCTTGGGCTTCGCCCTGGGCCCCATGTTCGTCAAAGCGACCTTCGCCGAGGACAGCAAGAACATAGTAAGTGTCTCCCTGTGCACACAGGCTGTGACATCACTCCTGCGATGGCCCCTCACGAGCCTGACAGCCCACGCTCTGGTCTGCTCTGGACCTTCCCTACCCCAGGCCAGGGCTCCAGCTTTAACTCCAAGGTCCTGTTTCCTAAAGCCTTGAATAATCTGAGTTATGCACAATAGTTGCTATGATCGGGTACCAGGCACTTTATCTGTAGTAGCTCACGTAACCCTCACCACAGCCCGGCCAGGTTATTCCAGCCATCTCCACCTCCCAGAGGCAGGCAGGACCCAGAGAGGTAATGTTGACAGAGCACCCTGACCTCGAGGGGTGACGGACAGAGGAACCTCATGGCTGAGCACCAGGAGACAGCCAGGCCCCAGCTCAGATCCTGGCTTTACCTCTTCCTGGCTGGGTGACTTGGGATAATCTCACTCCGTGAACATGGAAGTGGGAGTGTCCATCCTGCCAGTGGAGACGAAATGACATAGTGCACACAAGAGGGCACCTGGCACAGAAGAAGGGGTCAATAAATGGTAGCTGTTACGTCGTTGGTACCACTTTTATTTCTAACTTTAACTGCATAGATATTATTTGCAGTCAGAGGTTAGCAAACTGAGACTCAAATCTATTACGTGACTGACCATGACCTATCTGTTAGTGGCTGATGCCATCAGTCCCTCTGCTCTTTCTGCTGCCCGACTCCACCTTCCCCTGCCCTAGAGTCTTCAGTCTCCGGGTCTGCTCTCGACGTTATCACCCTCAAAAGCAGCCATTCATCTCCAGCCCAAGCAGAGCATTTCTGAAACCGCTCCTCGGAACTCGACCTCTCTAGATTTTAAAGCCCAGTCCATCAGAAAGGAATTCTGTGGTCCAGTACATCTGAGAACAGCTACATATTCTGGCATCTCTAAAAAGAGTTGCAGCGCCTGGTACCCAGTAAAGGCTCTGAAAAGTCCCGCAGCAAAGAGACTTTTCCAACGTTCCCAAAGGTTACCCTGAGTGTATTTGACCAGGGAGCCCTGTTTACAGAAGTCCAGTCTCATCTCACAGGATGTTAGTGTTCAGAGGAACGAGTTGGGGGGAACATGGCTGTGGCCCCCCTCCTTAGCCCAGCACCTTGGAGCACAAGGCCTCGAGCCAGGATCTGAGTTGAGTCTCTGGCCTGGCGTCATCCTTCTCCCTGGGATGCCCACTGCCTTTAGGCAAGTCCAGTGCCCAGACCTGACTGGTTCAGCTGCTGTCTTCTCAGGCCAGCGAGATAATCCTGGAGATCAAGAAGGCGTTTGAAGAGAGCCTGAGCACCCTGAAGTGGATGGATGAAGACACTCGGAAATCAGCCAAGGAAAAGGTGAGGCTGGACGGGTGCTGGGAGGGGTCCCGCACAGAGGGCAGCAGCCTCAGAGAGACGAGGGTGGATGAAGAAGGGACTAGTTTTATCCAATGAGTGCAGCACGGTTGCTGTCCTGCGTTCAGGAGGTGGAAAGTCCAGCACGATGGAGGGACAGCCTTGAACATATGATCGGATTAACGACTGTATGAAAACAAACTGTGCTAAGTGTGCAAGGGAGGTGTGACCATGGATGAGATGCAGCCCAGCAGGGGGTGGTGACCAGGGAAGGCTTCCCTTGGGACATGACATTTAGGCAGAGACCCCAAGGATAAGTGGAAGTTAGACAAGAGGAAGGGACATGAAAGCTCTGAGATGGGAGGAGCTGGGCCGTTTCCCCTTGGCCCAGACCCTGAGCCCGGCACCCACAGAGCACTGCTGGGCGTTCACTGTCCTCTGTGTCTCTCCTGCCCAGGCGGATGCGATCTACAACATGATAGGCTACCCCAACTTTATCATGGACCCCAAGGAGCTGGACAAAGTGTTCAGTGATGTGAGTGGCTCCCACCCTGCCCCCTTGCATTCCTGAATACCCATGGGGACCCCGCTTGGGAAAGGGCAGAGGCTGGGTCTGGGTGGGCCGCTGGAGGTACCATGACTGTCAAGACATCTGGAGATGATGTGGTGTGGGGTTTGGGCATGGACCGCGAACTAAGGAACCGTTATCTGCTCCTTCCTCTCCTGGGCCAGCCGGTGACCCCCACCTCCCCAGAGCCGCTAGCAGTCAATGACCAGTACAGCACAGTCAGCTCTACTGAATGAGTGGGAAATAATGGGGGAAAACAGATCCTAGAAGGTGTAGAGAGAATCGGTGTCCCTAAAGCATCAGGGGGTGGAGTACAGAGTGGAACCCCTCATACGCTTCCCAGCCCCCCGAGTTGCCTCCTATCCCCAGGCTTCTCCCCAACCTCCCCAGAGAAACCTGGACCTCTCATTCGGACTTCGAAATGCTAATGGGAAAGAGGAAGAATAAATCCCAAGTGCACGTTTAAGCTTAATTTAGGCAACAAGCGTAGTTGATACATCCCTGGTGGTTAGACCTTTGGGCAAATCACTCCTTTAAACGGATTGTGCTTCTGCCCCGAAAGATAAAGTTTTATACCTTATAATTGAAATTTGTGAATTCAGGCATTTTAGAAATAGTAATAACCGCTCATCATGGTTATATTTAAAACCAAAGAATATTAAAACTACTTCTGAGAATATGGGACTCATTCTGCAGCCTTTTTCCTTGAGAGTAATTTTAGATGCTCCAGGGTATCATGGTATAAGACGAGGGGCTCCTGGAGACAGCCCAGGCAGACCCCACAGGATTGGAGTCATGACCCCAAGGGCCTAGCATTTTACCAGAGCCCTGATGTAAAGCCAAAAAGTCCTAGAGCAGATCTAAGGGAGAACCTTGCCCCTGGCAAGAGCTGAAAGGCCGGGCTGAGTGGTGAGGAAGGTGTGCAGTAATGCCTGTCCCCTGAGGTTTCACAGATCCCAGCTGGATTTATGAGGTCTGTGCTGGCCAGCGTGGTAGCTACTAGCCACAGATGGCTAATTAATTAAAATCAAAATGAATTAAATAATTAAGTTAAAAGGTTGCAGTAGCCACATTTGAAATGCTCAGAAGCCACATGTGGCTGCTGTCGACCGTATCCGACAACATAGGTGTAGAACATGTCCATCATCGCAGAAAGTTCTGGACCCCACTGGACATATTTCCCACCTAAGGCCCTGGCACGGCCGCAGGGGCTTCCTGGTGCCTTGAGACACTGTAGGGTGCTGGGTGGCCCTGGGTGAAGCTCTTGGTGTGTCCTTGGAAGGGGGGGGCGGGGGCAGGCCCCAGCAGGGTGAGGGCCAAGGGTAGAGCCCAAGCCTGCAGCTCTGAGCCCTCCGTTCTAGTCTCTGCCCTGCGGACCAGCCCCCTGACTGCATGGGGTCTCAGTTTCCTCGGTTTTAGAAGACACGGTTTGCGTTCAGGGACCTGAGTGGGCTCTGACCCTGTGGCTTGCTCCCGCCTGTCCAGTACACCGCGGTTCCAGACCTCTACTTCGAGAACGCCATGCGGTTTTTCAACTTCTCATGGAGGGTCACTGCCGACCAGCTCCGGAAAGCGCCCAACAGAGATCAGTGAGTCCCCGGGCCTCGCTGGGAGGGCACGGGCTCCTGCAGGCAGGTATGGGGGCCCAGCTCTCCTTCAGCACGAGCAGGGTGCGGGATGTGACTGTCACGAGGGCCCTCTGAGGAGCGCGGGCGGCTGTTACCCCGCTCAGAAGCCGGGAGCTGAGATCAGCCCGAGTCTGTGTGCCCTTAGAGCCCAGCCTGTTGCCAGACGGAGCTTTCGTCCCTGGAGTTGAGCAGGCCTGGCAACACCACCCAGCTCCACCACTTCAGCGTTCGGAGCCTTTGCTTCATTATCTGTAGATAGGATGGGAGGAGCTTAATAGCCTCCTAGAAAACTCAGATGTAATCCGCCTAGTACTAGTTCTCAGACTAAACTCCCTCCATGCCTAAAACATTTTGCAGGGTAAATCTTAGAGAAAAGAGAAAGCAACTTCTTTGCCTCTGGCTCCCTCTTGTGGACAACAGGGGTTTGAGTTGTCTTCAACCAGGGCTCCCCATAAACGTACAAGAAGGTGGTTTTTGATCTCCAGAATAAGGCACAGGCACTGCCCCAGTGTTGTGAATTTATTTGAAGTCTTTTAATTTAGCTTAAAATTTTCCATCTAAAGTTAGTCTCCTACTCATTAATATACCCACCCCTTAATACATCTCTGTGGGACTTACTGGAGGAGACATAGTGACTGTCGTGGCTCTTGGAGAAAATATCCTTTCTGTCTCACTCCACTCCCCACTGGCCCTTCCCACCAGAAAAACCATTTGGAAGCCAAGTGTTTCATTACTATCTACCATCAGGGCCCCTTCTACACTCTTAAAATCATTGAATCCCCAAAAGCTTTTTTGTTTATGGGAGTTATATATTTTTTTTTTTTTTTTTAACAAATTTATTTTATTTATTTATTTTTGGCTGCGTTGGGTCTTCATTGCTGCACGCGGGCTTTCTCTAGCTGTGACGAACGGGGGCTACTCTTCGTTGCAGTGTGCAGGCTTCTCATTGCAGTGGCTTCTCTTGTTGCAGAGCACGGGCTCTAGGCACGCGGGCTTCAGTTGTTGTGACACATGGGCTCAGTAGTTGTGGCTTGCAGGCTCTAGAGCGCAGGCTCAGTAGTTGTGGCGCACGAGCTTAGTTGCTCCGTGGCATGTGGGATCTTCCCAGACCAGGGCTCGAACCTGTGTCCCCTGCATTGGCAGACAGATTCTTAACCACTGCACCACCAGGGAAGCCCTATGGGAGTTATATTGATTTTTCTGAAAATTTTATGAAAAAGAACAATTTTTTTTAATTTATTGAGAAGAGAGGTATTGTTTTACTTTTTGCAAATTTCTTTAATGTTTGGCTTAATAGAAGACAGCCAGATTCTCACATCTGCTTCTGCCTTCATTCTGTTACAATATATTGTTTTGAAATATATAAAGAAATTCTAGGACTTCCCCAGTGGTCCAGTGGTTAAGACTCCACGCTTCCAGTACAGGGGACACAGGTTCAGTTCCTGGTTGGGGATGTTCCACATGCGGTGTGGCCGAAAAAAAAAAAGAAAAGATAGGAATAAAGAAATTCTAGCCTCACACAGACATGTAGTTAGAAAAGGGAGGGACCTTTGAACAGGCTTTTTGATACATGTGCACATCCTTCGCTGATACTATACCAAAACGCGACAGGTGTAACTTTCTTAAAGGTTAGTTGCACTGCCCTCCGAAACCATATTCATAAACTTTTCATACTCTTTTACACTGAAATCCATCGGTCTGTCTTGCGCTTTGAATGGATCTTTTACCCCGGTGTGATTTTGTAACACCGTGCATTGGTCATTGGGAAAACAGTGCTTCATTGAATTTCACATATCTTCCAAACAGTAACTTCTTCATTTTAGAATATCAAAAAAAATCCACCTTTGGTAATATCACTGCTGACCTCCAGAGAGAAGTCTTTAAATATTGGGCAGCTGTCAAGTTTGTGGTGGCCGATACCAGTTTTTCAAAATTTTGCTTGAAACTTCAGGTTTTTGGAAACCTTGCATTTTTATCATTGGCAACAAACGGTGTCGGTTGTTTTCCTTGAGGTGATGAGTTCACTCTATTCATTTTCAAGGATATGTCTGTCAAACACCAGTCATCCTCTCAAGTACAAATGGTGTTCCATGAAAAAAACAGAAATGCTTATGAGTGGTTCCCATCTGGTCATGCATAATATTTAGAGACTTGTACTCAAGGGTCTAGATTTAATGAAGTTAATAGTTATGCTGCGTCATCAAGGATGTTCTTAAGTGAAAATGACTTTTTTTTTTCTGGTGAAGAACACGGTGACCAATTGAACAGCTGGTGCCACCAGCCTGACTCAGCTAGGACTCCAGCAGTTTTACCCAGCGTTGCTTTTACACCATCAGTGTAACGGTCTACACGATGGGAAAGGCGAATAACATCTTAACATTATTATGAAAATAGTTTGACCTCACAGAACCCCTGAAAGGGAATTGAGGGATTCCCATCCCGTCAGGTATCCACAGAGCACACTTTGAAAACTGCTGACAAATACATTTTGAGCCTGGATTGTAATGACTTTTTAGTATGTAATGGTCCATTTTGTTCTTTTTTTTTTTCTGAGACGCTCAACATTTTTTTAATTTTGTATTTGACCACGCAGCATGGCATGGGGGATCTTAGTACCCCGACCAGGGATTGAACCTGTGCCCCCTGCGGTGGGAGCGCAGAGTCTTAACCGCTGGACCACCAGGGAAGTCCTGAGATGCTCAGCATTTTTAATAGTCAGTGAAATGAAATTAAACGTAAAGTAAGATTTCACTGTACGCTTGCTAACATGGCTAAAGCCAATAGTTTCTGGGACTGTTGTGTGCTTGTGTGGCCTGGGGCCTGGGGTCAAGGGGAGTCCACACTTTTAGGGCTCTGGACACTCTCCCGATGGGCCATCCCCACCTGCGCTCCCCCAGCAGACTCTGAGCTTGCCCGTGTGTCTCGCTTGCAGGTGGAGCATGACGCCACCCATGGTGAACGCTTACTACTCGCCCACCAAGAATGAGATCGTGTTTCCAGCTGGAATCCTGCAGGCACCGTTCTACACCCGCTCTTCACCCAAGTACGCGATGCTTCTGTTGCTCCCGCCCCGTCTCCTCCCCACACCCCTCAGTGGATCCCCGGGCCCAGCCCGGCCCTGTGGCCCACAGCTGACCCCACGCGCACACCCACCTCGCTGAGAGCTCCTCGTCCCACCGGCCAGGAGATGTTGCCATGGAAACAACAGCCTTACTCCCTGTGCTTCCCTCCGGGGTCTCCGGGACCGGGGAAGCCCCTGCACGGTGGGAACTTGGGGGTAGGAGCCACATATAGGGAAATTCCTCTCTAACAGCATTCTAGAACAGTCTCAGCTGGGAAGGTGGGAAGAGTGAGGGCACTGTCTCGGAAACGAAATCCACACAGGCCTGGGTCCGAATCCCAGACCTGCTCTCTGCTGACTGTGTGGCCCTTGGGCAAAGTGCCTGAACCATTCCACACCTCTGTCTGCTCATTTATAGAGTTAGTTACCAAGGCCTAAGTCTTTGGGATGACCAAAGAGGACCGTGCGGTGCCACAGAGCACCTGGCACAGTGCTTGGCGTCCAGCGGGCACAGGCAGGGCAGAGCAGACTCACCAGGCTCTGACTGGCTCAGGGGCCTGGCTGGAGCCCTGCGGGACTCTGCCGTGTCTCCAGGCTGGGAGAGCAGTGGTCCCTCCCCACACGGCATCACTCTCACCTTCGTGTCCTCCCCTTCAGTGCCTTAAACTTTGGTGGCATCGGTGTCGTCGTGGGCCACGAGCTGACTCATGCTTTTGACGATCAAGGTACAGGTTCCTTGGGGTCCCCTTCAGATGATTTCCCCACCAGCTTCCTGGCCCCACTGCTTCTGCTTTTGCTCCCTTCACGTCTAAGGGTCTTAGCCTTAGAGACAGAAGGATCTGGGTTCATATCTTGGCCCGGCCACCTGCCAATTGTGTGGACCTTAGCAAGTCCCATCAGTTCTGTAGGTCTCTGTTTTCTGCTCTGTAAAATGGGCATGATGCTTTTGTGGTGGCTGTGAGGACAGGGCAGACTCACAGGGGAGCACCCTGCTCCAGGACGGTGTGCAGTGCCAGGGGTGGGTATCAGTAGTCAGCGGGGAGAGAACATTTCTCCACCACTCCAGAGATTTCTCTGGTCCAACCACAGTCAGAAGAGTTAGCACCTCACCAGCTAATGTCCAGAATCCTCCTCATTGCCTCCTGCCTTGGGGACTCCAAGGCGAAGAAGGAGGAGGCAAGGCCTTGGAGGCCGGGCCCTATCCCATGACCCTAGCACTGCTGGCTGCGTTCACCTCCTCCTGGCTCAGGGTCAGAGGCCCTTCACCAGCCTTGACAGTGAATCCAGCTCCACCGAAGATTTGAACATGCTGGTCCTTTGCTGAGATCAGGTTCCTCTACCCCCCACCCCCACCCCAACAGCTGATTCATGCCGCTCCTTTAGCACCCAGACCAGCCTCATCTCCCCGGTGCTGGGTGGCAGATGGGTGGATCATTTCTCCCTGGGAGGAGAGGCACAACCAGCAGCACGGGTCCCGGCTCTGCCTCTTCTCCCCCTGACCTGACACTTCTGTCTGACCCCGCAGGACGGGAGTATGACAAGGACGGGAACCTTCGGCCCTGGTGGAAGAACTCATCCGTGGAGGCTTTCAAGCAGCAGACCGAGTGCATGGTGGAGCAGTACGGCAACTACAGCGTGAACGGGGAGCCGGTGAACGGCCGGCACACCCTCGGGGAGAACATCGCTGATAATGGGGGCCTCAAGGCGGCCTATCGGGTAAGAGGCCCCCTCCTCACACACCCCAGGCCAAGGTTGGGACTGTCCAGCTGCTTCTCAGTTAAGGGTGGTTGTAGACAAGCTGGGGCAAGTGCAGCAGCCCTGCGAGCCTCAGTTGCCACATCTGTGGAATGGGTGGCAGTGAGAACTGATTGAAAGGGTGTCTGTGAAGCACCTAGCACGGAACTGGCACATAAAAGGCTGTCTGCTCTGAGTCCAGCCCGACTGAAGGTCACCAGAAAGGGCTTGGGCTAGACCCACCTGAAGACCTGCCTGTTCTTCCCTTTACAGGGGAAGCCACCACTGACTCAGGCAGCAGTGGGCCCAGGAAAGGAGGGAGGGGTCAGTGGTCTTGGAGCCACTTCCGGCTCACGTCCTGGGTCTGGAGTAAGTCACTCAGCCTCCTTGAGCCTCAGGATACATGGCTGTGGCTACCTAGTCCCTGCATCGCTGGGTGTTAGAAAGATAGCATGTGACCACTTGGGCTCAGGGCCTGGTCCGGAGTGGCACTCGGAGACGTTAGCTGAGTTGGAAGGGAGATACCAGAGGCCAGTGCAGAGCCTCCAGCTCCCCGTGGTAGTGAGAGCAGAAATCCCACGAGGTGCCCGGTATTGAGGCCTTACTGTGCGCCAGGTGCTGTGCTCAGCGCCCCCGACAGCTTTACAATTAGGTGTCACACGCCCGTTTTGCAGGTGAGGAAACCAACCCAGAAACGTTCAGCAACTTGCCTGACGTCCATTAGTCAGTGAAAGGGAATCGCGAACTTTCTACCCACCGTGTACTGTTGTTGGCGCCAGAGATTCTGTGACAAAACAGACAGGGATCCTGCTGTCCTAAAGCTCCCAATTTTAATGGGGTGGGGAGGGGGAGAAAGGCAATACATACCTACACAAATAAATGAGGTAACTTCAGGTATTGATAAGGAGAAGAAGAATATAAACTAGGCCAAAGTAATAAAGGAAAATGGGGGGAAGGATGGCCAGGGGAGGCCTTCTGGAGGGGATGACATTTGAATTGAGACCTAAATGATGAGGAAGAGGCAGGGAAAGCTGGGAAAGAAGAGTAAGTACGGAGGCCATGAGATGGACCCAAGCCTGGCGTGGTCAAGGACAGGAAGGAGGACGGGGGCAGCGTGGAGGGAGGGCAGGGCCCAGGGCAGGGGGGAGGCCGGAGGAGTGGCTGGACCAGGCTGCCGGCCTCTGCCGGCTGAGCAAGGAGCTTGGGTTTTATTCTGGCGACAATGAGAGCCACTGCAGGGGTTTTAAGTAGAGGAATGAAATGATCTAAGTTATCCTGTACGACAGGGTCAGCAGACCTACAGTCCCTGGGCCACATCCAGCCCTCGGCTGGATAAATCAATAAAAATAAATAAAAACTGGGGGGGACACAGCCATGCCCATTCGTCTCCACGGTGCCTGTGTCTGCTTTCACACAGCAGTGGCGCCCTTGAGTTGCTGCGGAAAAGTGTTTGGCTTCCAAAGCTGAAAATAGTTACTCTCCGGCCCTTTACAGAAAATTTTGCCAACCCCTGCTTTACGAGGATGACTTGAGTTGCTAAGTTGGGAGGGGATTGAACTTGGACCAGTTTGAGTCACGGAGACTAGGTAGAAAGCTGCTGTGAGGTTGTCCAGGCAAGAGACAGGATAGAGCAATGGGAAAGGTGAGAAGTGGTTAGATTTGGGTTGTTCGGTGGATTGAAAGAGAAGAATCAAGGGAGAGTCCTGGGGTCTGGGCCTGAGTAACTGGGGGGTTGGTGATGTCACTTACTGTGATGGGAAAGTGAGTGTGTGTGTGTGTGTGTTTGTGTTAAGTTTGGGATGCATCTTGGATATCCAGCTGGGGCAGTTGAATATACCCAAGAAGAGGCTGGAGCCAGAAGGGTGTGCATTTGAGAGCCGTCGGTATTTAGATGTAGATGGTATTCAAAGCCATAGTGTTGAATGAGCTCCCCTCAGAATGAGTGCAGGTAAAGAGGACGGCTCCTCTAGGCTGAGCTGAGGCCATCACCAGAAGCTAGTCCCTGTCCCAACTCGGTAGACCATCCCCGATCTCCCATGGTAGCCCCCACCCCACCCTGCTTGCTCCTGTGTCATGGGGACCCTGAGCTCTGTTCTCTCCCCACAGGCCTACCAGAACTGGGTGAAGAAGTACGGGGCTGAGCAGACGTTGCCCACCCTGGGTCTCACCAATAACCAGCTCTTCTTCCTGGGGTTTGCACAGGTGAGTTCATTAGAGAAAAGCCAAACTCAGACAGAATCTGCCATCTTGAGTTCCAGGAGCTCTGAAAATCAAAAGGCAAGTTTCCTCAAATTGGGAAGCCCTAGCTCACTGGTCCATCCGCAGGGCATTTACCCTGTAAGAAGGTGAGCTTCATCATTAGAGAAATTCAAGGAAGGGCCAAGAATGCTGTTAGAGGAATTCCTGCATCAGGTAGGTAAGAGGACGAGGTGACTGCTAAGGGCCCTTCTGCTTCTGGGGTTCTAGCAATGTCTTGAAAACTCAAGACATCCCGGGCTGTTCCTTGAGCTGGCATTCAACATGTAGCCTTCTGTTGGTGCCCGGAGCCACCAGGCCATTAGACAGTTTGATCTGGACTCAAAGTGGTTTGGGGGCAGAATCCTTCGTTCAGGTGAAATGTCACGAAGATGCCCGGAACAGACAGAGAGCTGCTGTGGCTGCAGCAGAGGAAGCTGGGATGGGGTCCCACCAGCCCCTGTCTCTTCCTAACCCACTTGACAGACTCTCCTGGCCCCCCGGGGTCTCAGAACCAGGCGGGGCCCTTATTTTCCTGCTGTGGTGATGGGGCCAGTGGTGACCCCGGCCTCTCCCATGTCTCTCCCCCGAAGGTCTGGTGCTCCGTCCGCACGCCCGAGAGCTCGCACGAAGGTCTCATCACCGATCCTCATAGCCCGTCCCGCTTCCGGGTCATCGGCTCCATCTCCAACTCTAGGGAGTTCTCGGAACACTTCCACTGCCCGCCCGGCTCACCCATGAACCCTCATCACAAGTGTGAAGTGTGGTGAGAGGGGTGGAGCATCAAGAGCCAAGGAGGAAGCAGGGCAGGGGCCGAGGACCGCCCCCGGGGCGGGGCCAACAAGGCTGCCCGCTCCTTCCGGCGCCCAGGGCGGCGCCTGGACACCTCGGGCCCCCTTCCCCTCGCTGGAGGGTTTTCAGCCCGAACCAAGTCTGTGATGTGGGTTCTCACATTAATCCGAGATTTGCTCCCCTGTGAAGACCCGGTCATCCCAGGCACACGTGTGTCAACTCTGATGGGCATTTGGGTGTCAGGCCGGTTGCTCACCAGGCCTGGGCCCCACGCCGACACGGGCAGTGGGACACAGCCTCCTGCCCACATCCAGCGCCAGATACACCACAAACACCACTGTGTCAGTGCTTTAAAGATGTATTTTTGGGGAAACTATTTTTTAAACATTGTGGAATACACTGGAAATCTTCAGGGAAATAACGCATTTGAAACACTTTTTTTTTTTTTTTTAAGGAAAGGATTGGTATATTTATTATGTTCTGTTTTTCTAAATAACCTGTGGACAAGCCCCACTGATTTACCCCCCGCCTCGCTTCCTCACTTGCTGCAAGATTGGTCTGAAGCAGGATCCCCAGCCACTGAGCAGGTCCCCCAGTGGAGAGCTGCCTCAGTCCCTGGGGTATGCGGTTTCAGCCTCCTCCCCTGGTTCTTGGTCCCCTGGTGCAGAGAGGAGAGGCATAGAGGCCCGGCAGAGGGAGGGGCCAGCTTGTTGGTACCACCCCCTCAGTGTGCCTGCCTCTGTCCCCAGAGTCCAACAGTGGGAACCCCAGCAAGGAAGATCTGACCCCGAAGTCACAGCAGAGGACTGATGGCTGCATGAGGCCAGGTGAGGGCCCTCAAACCCTGTCTGGAGGTGCCCGAGCACCCTGGATCCGGGTCACAGGAGCCCTGCGAGGCTGAGACATCGCCATCAGGTGTACTCCACCATGCCATGGATGTCCTCTTTCCGTCCGCCTTCTTTTGACTGACCCCCCGTCAGTCCCGGGGCCTGTTGTCTCTCTGCAGCATCCTGCTATCCCAGCCACTTTGGGGTCTCTGCCTTGCAGACCCTCTTCTCCCAGGGAAGAAGGAAAGAGAAAGCAGCTCTCATTGCCCAAGGGCCCAAATCCTCCCTTCGAGCTCCGTCCTCTACCACTGGCCCGGGCCGGGCTCCCAGGACCGCAGCCAGGCCCGCCCTCCCTTCTCTAGTGCCTTATCCAGGGCTGCGCCTGGGCTCCCCGCAAGGAGACAGCCCTCCGCCCCCAGGGGCCCCTTGGCCTCCTCAATGAAGCCCCCCAAGTGTCCTGACTGGAACACAAGGCCATACCCCCTACTCCAGTGCCACACAGCTGCCCCTCATAGCCACCCAGAGGCTCTGGCCTACAGGTCTACGGCACTGAGGTCAGGAATCTGAAGAGCCCCTGAACTTGCCCTGGGCTTCAGCCCACCCTCAGCCCCTTGGGCTGAATCAAGACAATACTTGTAGCAAGATCCACTGCTCTTCTTGGGGGATGCTCTTAGCCACGGGAGGCTGCGAGGGGAAGGCTCCCCCAACCTGGTTGGTCTGGCCTGAGGTGTAGGGACCAGGAATGTCGTCCCTTCCCTGCGGCCTCATTTTCTCTGGACTCCCCCACCTGGTGGAGCTCATGTAGCCCCAGGCTGGCCCTGAGGAAGCAGGCACCCCTGACCAAGGCAGGAGCTGCCTCAGCCCTCCTGCCTGGTAGCCAGGCCACCGGGCCAGCCCCGCTCCCACAGGGAGCCAGCGTTCTCCTCGCCCAAGATGAGCAGAGGCTCAACCACTGCCTCGCCCACCTTCAGGTCGGCCCTGGAGCTGGGGCAGGGGTTTTGGCAGTGGGCTCCAGGTGAGGCCCCTGGCCCCCACCAGCGGCAGGCCTAATGTCTCTTCAGAGGAAATGGAGGACAGGAGCCAGAGAAGGAGCTGGAGTCGGGAGCCCGCCATGCGCACCTCACCACGGAGGGACCGGCTCTCCTGGGCCTGGCGCCCTCCCCTCCCCCACTCCACCCTCCTGCCCTCCGGCCTTCCCCGAGGAGGGTCGCACCCCCGGCACCATGGACTGGGACCTGCCAGCCAGAAGCAGCGGTCCTAGGGCTGAGGGTCCAGCCGGAGGGAACGTCCTCTGCCCTCATTGCTTCAGGGAGTGGGAGGGGGCAGGCCGAGGAGGACTCGGGACCAGCGGGGATGGAAGCAAAGGAAGCACTCCCACTGCCTCCCCTGCAGAGCCTTGGGCAGCTGCGCTCTGAGAGGCCCCTTCCTCCTAGGCCTGGGGAGCCATAGGGGCGGCTTCTCCGTGGGCACATAGACGTGGGGTTTGGAGCTGGGAATCTATTTTTTGTATTATGTTTTGTGCTACTGTAGCTTGGGTTTGGCACTATTGTAACTGAAATAAAGTACTTGTACCGAGGGCCATGTTGGTCCAAGTGTGTGTCCTTCTGGGGCGGTGTGTGTCCTGTGGAGCTGAGGGAGGGCTCCCGGCCAGCACAGAGCTGCTAGCACCCCCAGGGCCTACGGCACCTCCTCCCCAGAGCAGAGGCCTTGGACCCTGACAAATGCCAGAAGGTTACGCAGTGCCTATGCCCACTTGGCCACACTTCATCCATATGACCGTGTAAGGGCCCCCTGCTGGTGAGAATGATGCATGTCACCACATGAGCTCAAGGGACCTGGTAAAAATAATTTTTCCATTATCTTGGAGCAAAGGATGTCAGCAGTGGGTTTCCAGGCCTCAGGTGCTTGGGCAGGGCCAGGCAGGAGAAGGGGCATTCGAAGAAGTTCAAGGAAGAGTCTCTGACATACACTCATGCCTCCTCCTGGGTTTTGCATGTATTCTTCCCTCTGCCTGGAATACTCTTCGCTGACTTCTTTTGGCTGATAAACTCCTACCCATACTTCAATGCCCAGCTCAGCATCACCTCTAGGAGGCCATTCCTGACCTCCAGTCCCGATCAGGTGGCTCATACAGGCTTCCCTCTCCTACCAGAGTGCCTTAGTGCCAGGGCTGCCATAACGAACTATGACAACGTGGTGGCTAATAAAACAGAAATTTATTGTCTCACAGTTCTGAAGTCTGAGACTGAGGTGTCGGCAGAGTTGATTCCTGCTGAGGAATGTGAGGGAGAATCTAGGCTAGAAGCCTGGTTTCTGGTGATTTGCTGGCAGTCTTTAGTGCTGCCTACTTGTAGAAGCATCACTCCAGTCTGTCTTCATCTCACATGAAAATATGAGAGGCTGCTAAAAACAGTACCGCCTCGGGAAGCACACACATACACACACACACACACACACACACACACACACACACACACACAGGCTGAAGGTGCAGAAGGGAGACATTTTTTTCCTGCAGAGGCCCATCTTACTGACACTCTCCCTTTCCCAATGACCGAGTGAACAGGCTCCTTTCTCTTCCCCACTCTGAGCCCTGGGGCCCCTGCTTCTCCCTTCCCGAACTGCCTCCCTTTTTTGTTAGCAGCAGATCCTCTGCTTCCAAAGCATGCCCCCCTCCCCAAGCAGGAATTAAAACCCCAGCTCGACCCTCTAGGAGTTTATCCTACAGTTAAGGAGATAGAAACACATGCAAGATGCGATTGAGCACAACTAGAAAATGTATACAACCTATAATAACAATTAATTGTGAATGCAAAAGGATTCAGCGGAGACTCTCCATAAGTGTTGAGGAACTGCAGAGGGAGGGATGAGACAATATTCTAAACTTTAAAGAATCTACTACAATAATAAAACAAAAATGGGTGAGACCTTTACAATGAAAACTAAAACTTTCCAGAAGACCATAAAAGAAGACCTGAATAAATGCAGAATACCCTCGCCATGAATGGAAAAGCTCAACATAATAAAAGATGTCAGTTCTCCCCCACGTTAATCTATAATTTCCATGTACTTTCAACCAAACTTCCAAGATAATTTTCATGGAATTTGATACGCGGATTCACATGGAATAGAAAATGCACCATGGCCAAGACAATTTTGAAAAAGAATAATGAGGGAGCTGGTTCTCTCAAAATATGCTATAAAGCTTTAGTACGTAGTATGATGTCGTGTTGGTGTAGGATTAGAGAAATGAAACAACATGAATAGATTAGGGAGACAATTCTATGTATATGTGGGAACTAGTATAGGATAAAGGAAGCCCTTTAAATCAGTTGGGAAATGATGAACCATTTAATAAATCGTGTTAGGATATCCACTTGGGAAAAAATGAATCTAGCTCTTGCCTCTCTCACACAGTTCTCACACACAGTGATCACAGCGATAAATTCTACACATATGGAGACCTAAACATGCAGTAACTATAAAAGTATTAGATGAAATATTACAGAAGATGTTCATGACTTTGGGTAGGCAAAGTCATCTTTGAAAAGACACTATTCACAAATATGAAGGTAATTGTAGAATTTCTAAAAATATTTTTTTAAAAACTCTAAAGAAATGAAAATCTACCATAATCCTATCATCCAAAGACACACACACACACACACACACACACACACACACTTGGACTTCCCTGGTGGCGCAGTTAAGAATCCGCCTGCCAATGCAGAGGACACGGGCTCAAGCCCTGGTCCAGAAAGATCCCACACGCTGCAGAGCAACTAAGCCCGTGTGCCATAACTACTGAGCCCACGTGCCACAACTACTGAAGCCTGCACACCTGGAGCCTGTGCTCCACAACAAGAGAGGCCACCGCAATGAGAGGCCTGAGCCCTGCAATGAAGAGTAGCCCCCGCTCACCGCAACTAGAGAAAGCCCGCAGGCAGCAACAAAGACCCAACGCAGCCAAAAATAAATAAATTAAATTTTTTTAAAAGCCCTTTAAAGACACATACACAAAGGTACAAGTGAATAAAGAAAAAAAACATAAAAGGAAAAGACTAATACATTTGGCAACATGAAGACAATTCATTTATAAACAAGATACAATAAATAAAATTAAAAGATTAGATAAACAACACGGATCTACTATATAGCACAGGGAACTATATTCAATATCTTGTAATAACCTATAATGGAAAAGAATCTGAAAAAATATATATATACATACATATATATAAAAACTGCATCACTTTGCTGTACACCTGAAATTAACACAACATTGTAAATCAACTATACTTCAATTTTAAAATTTTTGAATTAAAAGACAAGTGACAGGTCCAGTGGTAAAGAATCTGCGTTCCTATGCAGGGCACACGGGTTCGATCCTTGGTCAGGGAACTAAGAACCCACATGCTGCGGGACAAATAAGCCCACACACCACAAATGCTGAGCTCATGCGCCTCAACTAGAGAGCCTGCGTGCCGCAAACTACAGAGCCCACTAGCTCTGGAACCCGCGCCACAACTAGAGAAGAGAAAACCCGCACATCACAACTAGAGAGAAGCGCGCATGCCACAACGAAGAGCCTGCACGCTGCAACAAAGACCCGATGCAGCCAAATAAATAAATTTTTTTTAAGTGACAGATTGGAAGAAAAAATTTGCAACATGCATAGCTAATGATCCAGAATATATATAAACAACTCATAAAATTAAAAAACCCAATCAGGTGAAAAAGAGAGCAAAAGATTTAAAGAGATCATTCAGAGAAGAAAAAAAATACAAAAAGAAAAATAATTTTTGAAACGATAATCCCACTAATAATATGAGAAATGCATTTAAAATTACGATGAGGTAACATTTTTCACCCATCAGTTCAACAAAAGTGATGATATTTGATATTAAGCATTGGTGAGGACGTAGGGAACTGGGTACTGCCACCCACTGTGAGGGCCAATTTGACAGTGTTTATTAAATGTCAAGTGCATTTACCAGGACTTCCAGGCTTGGAGGACAAAGGTAGCGCCCTAATTTCAAGTGTACCCACTCACCCTCCCCCCAAAGGAAGGTAAATCAACAAAGAAAGGAAATAAAACCACACAGGAACCTTGAGTTACTTGAAGTAGAGAAATAATCCAAATTCCAACAGAAATCCCACCACATACAGCTGCAAGCCTGTGGGTGCCAAGAGTGATGGAGAGAAGGTTTCAGAGACATTGTGAAAAACAGTAGAGGGGCCTGGAAGTCTTAGGTGACCCACAGACAAAACCACTCTCAGGATGTCCAACACCAAGTGCCAAAACACTGAACACAGTTGGGGCATAATAGCCACCAGCAGCACCAGCACCCGGGAGGAATCTGGAAAGAATAGAAAGGGTAGCTTTGTAGAAGCATTGCTTCTTGGAGAGAAGCAGATATATACAGTAGGGCTGGTCCCCTTGTAGATGTGATAGTGAAGGAAAGAAGGGATTAAGAAGGAAAAAGTAAGAATCCTAAAAAACAAACAAGAAAGCTAATATGATAGTGTAAGTCAATTATACTTGAATTAAAAAAAGTGAGACCTAAGAAAAGCCAGTTCCCCACCACACCACCACCTCCTCCTCCACACTGTTTGTAAAGGATGTTGAACAGGGGCTGCAGGACGTACAGCAGAGGGCAAGCTTGAATAAGAAGTCCTGTCCATGAATGACCAGGACTATAAAAAGGCAGATCACATACATTCAAAACTACTGTTAAGAAAAAAAAAAAGAGAAAATAAATGCAAATCAGAGCATCTCAGCAGAAGAAAACTAACATGACGCTCCAAACTGAATTAAATATCCTCAAATAAGCATTTAGGGATACGGAAAAATACCTCAAATCAGAAATACAAAATCTGACAGCAGAAATAGGCCAAAAAAAGAGGAAGAAATGAAATGAGAATTGATATTGATCTTGGAGAATAAAATAACAAAATCGTATCATAAATGAAGATTAAACTAAAAGGTGTCCAAGGGATGATAGATTCAAATGAAAACTTACTAAAGGACATTGAAGAAAAGCAGGAAGACAACCAAGAAAATGAAAATTAGATAAAGAAGTAAAAACGGTCAGAGAGAAAATGGTGGAAATGAAAGACAGGCAAAGAGCTAACATTTAAAAGTGTAATCCAGGAAGACTTTCTAGAAATAAAAGACCTCGGTCTACACATCAAAAGGGTTCACTGGGTACTACGTAAATTGACATTGAGCAATCAACTCTAAGATAGATCCTTGTAAAGCTATTGGACTTTAAAGATAGAAAGCAGAGCCTCCAGGCAAAAATATGAAATAACTTAGGCAGACTTTTAAAAAAATAACATACATTATATGAAGTACCTAGAATAGGCAAATTCATAGAGACAGAAAATAGAATAGAGATTACCAGAGGCTGGAGGGAACGAGGGAAGGGGAAGTTATAGTTCAATAGGTACAGAGTTTTTGCTGGAGATGATGAAAAAGTTTTAGGTATAGATAGTGGTGGTGGTTACACAACATTGTAAATGTATTTAATGCCACTGAATTGTACACTTATGAATGGTTAAAGTGACAAATGTTAT